AGTCCGGTTTAATGCCGCTTTTAACAGTATTCCAGTTATATCGCGGCGTGTCAGCTTGATAGAGGAGGAAAGCATAAAGTGACGCAGGTCTCTGAGGTTTACCACTTTGGTGAAACCCACGAACACAGGTATGGTGCTGACAAACCTAGAAACATAATCAGGGTGAACCGGGATTCGAACCCACGATCTTAGGTTTCTGATGAGTCCAAGGGACGCAACTCTGCACAGCAAATTGCGGCGCCTTAGAAGACTGGGCCACCATGTCCGTCTTACAATGAGAGGCCAAAGCAACCAGTACTCACTATGTACACACATCATAAGCGTTTAACAATGATAAAAGCTATCATCAGATAAAACAAAACACATGAGTGCATGAACATCTGCTATGTACACAACAACATCTGATACCAGTCCACGCTACTCTTACACGCCTAACCTAACATCTTGCTGTGACCCTGCGACCCTTGACCTGTCACATGACCCGACCACTATGTCCTCTTCTTAATGTCTACAAGAAATAAATGATAATCGCAAGTTATTGTGGGGAACATTCGAAAGAAACAAACTTGAATTAATATAATTCTGAATATGAGTATCTAAATAACAAAGAGATTGACTTACCAGATCATAAGTATAATGTTTCAGTGGTGAAATAAAAAGGAATACCGAACGCAAATGCATATCAATTTTCAAACCATGTTAGTAATTTGGGGATCAACTAAGGAGTATCTACCGTGGTTTATGTAACTATCACCCGATGTAGTGACGGTATAATTTTCAGTTGTATCAGTGTAGTGTTGTGGAAGGGGTTCAAACCAGGACCTTGTGTGATGACCAAACACACTAACCACAGGGCCATACCAAGACAATGTCACAACAGAGGCAACTCCCACAGGTGATAGGGTAACTGATAGAACCAGTCGGAATCAACAGAAATAGCAGGTGGAGTGAGAGATTGGTGATAGAGGATTGGATGGTGGGTAAGAAACATACAGACAATGCAGCGGGGATCAATGTTTCTCGATTCCACTGACCATGAATGCAACACGCCAGGGGGAGTGAGATGTGTTTAAGGACACCATCAATATTTCAGTTTCACAGTTTGATGTTGGAGGAAGAGAGCTGACTACGGCCAATTTTGGAATCTGCAACCCAATAATATTCGGATCCTGGCCAAAAAAGGGAAGTAACTCTGATCAGCAAATTGCAATGCTTTAGAGGATGAGGTCATATGTGTCTGGTGGTCAGAAGTGTCTTCATGCATGATCTTTCAGTTGACTTACACTTAGTTGGAGTTTGAAGCGATAATATTTTAGCTGATGAGGTAAGGAATCTCAAAATGATGTAAGTTTAAGTCGTTTTCCATTTAGATAAACACCATCATATTCATGGTGTTCACAGACCAAGAAACAAGCAGGATAAATCTGGATTTTGACCCTAGGACAAGCAGATCCTGGCATGGCTAAGGCAGACAACTCTCACAGGAGATGAATGGGTTTGTGATGTTGGTGATTTTAAGAGTGCTTCCGGGGAAACAGATTTCACACTCTTTAAGACCTGATACCCTAGGACAGATACCTGACATCACTGTCACTTCATGAAACACCAGGAGCCTACAGCAGGGAACTTGAGGGTGTTTGATACATCCAATACGGTAACACACCTCTCTTATGTAGGTTAATCTTTCAAGGACGTCACTGCTCAAGTTACGCTTCCTATTGTCAGTTACTCAAGGTCACGATGACCCATGAAAGATGAAGGCAACTACAAGGGTCCCGATGCCTGGGTCTGAAACCATCTCTCCACCAGCCACACAGTACTATGTTAAGCAAAGTATTCTTTATCTAAAAGTCTGTTTAGCATTTAGGCCACACATCTGTATTTTTCGTTCAGGGGACTACTGCCCTGCTGAAAGCCACAGCAATTTTAACTCCACGGATGATTGGAATGAATGGAATGAATGAATGAATGAATGAATGAATGAATGAATGAATGAATGAATGAATGAATGAATGAATGAATGAATGAATGAATGAATGGAATGAATGACATAGCTATTTATATTTATTACGACCAACCTTGGGTGGAAAAGCTGGAATAAATGCTTGAAACACTAAATTTAATAAGTGTCGCCTTATAAACAGATTAGAATGTTTGAGAACTTTGCATGCGTACATCAATTTGGCACCATCATGTTTGCATCATGTCATCAGAGAGAGCAATCTTTGCTTGGAATACAGAATTTCATTCAAAGAATCATTCAATGATGAAGCCGGTCTAAAACTATGTATTTCTGATAGTTTTATTTTCAAAATCAAATATTTTTCTGACAACAATTACTGAACCGACAACTTATAAAATATTTGCTGTCATTACTTGTCACGGAGTGTAACTGATTGATAAGACACCATACATGACAAGTCTTGTCTTTCTGGATGCTAAAAAAGAATGTCTTTTTAAATCAATACCTGTGAATGATACAGGACATTGGAGTCTTCTCAGACCTCACTTTGTGAAAACAATATAGGAAGACATGACAATCATCACGAGACTCATCCTCGATTATCCAGGGAATTACATATCCATGTTACAATAAATACCCTGGACCCATTCACTTCTACAGCTTTTGTTTAGGAAGTGACATCACCATCTCCAGTTCTCCCATCCCTAACCTAGCGAAAGGCTTCTGCATAGACTCAAAACATTCAAAATGGTAGCCATGGACAAGTTACGCATCAAGGAGAATATTTAGCTGGAAAGAGGTTTTCCTGAGTATTTAGGGACTGACCATTCTTTTTTGAAAGGAAAATAAAATTGATGCAGAAAGTTCTTGAAAAAAAATAATTATGCCATACACTGTTGAAAAAGAAGAAATTGTCAGGCATATATCTTGTTGCATGATGGTTTTTTAAAACAAGAGTCATCAGAAAGATGACATATCCCCCCAGCAGCTGTCTGTAAAGTAACCACTAGTAAATGTGCAATTCTGTATGTAATGAGTCAACAGTTGAATGTTCTTTTAGAAGCATACATTGTTTAACCTACTGAATGGTTTTCGAATTCTGGCCCGGAAACGAACACCATTCCTAATTGAGTCTATGTCCAACTTCATTCCATAAAAACTTTAAAAAATAAAAATTAGAAAAATCCCAAAATATCAAAAGGCACCACTTCAGTATGTGCCTGATAGCTTTCCCAAGTTTCGATCATATACACTGAATGGTTTTCGAATTCTGCCCCGGAAACGAACCCCATCCCCAATTGAGTCTATGTCCAACTTCATTCCCTAAAAATTGAAAAAAAATTTTTTTAGAAAAATCCCAAAATATCAAAAGGCACCACTTCAGTATGTGCCTGATAGATTTGCCAAGTTTGGATCAAATACACTTAATGGTTTTCGAATTCTGCCCCAGAAAAGGAAATGATTACGGACGGACAGACGGTCAGACGGACGGACAGACAGACTGGCATTATATGCCGGGGGGATAAAAATGAATAATTTAGACATATAGTTTTAAATAAAGAAATTGGTTTTGCAGCTGTAGCTGAACAAATATAAAGTGTCCAAACGAAACCCCAGTACCCCCTCACTGAATATCGGTGGAGGAATGTTGTTATGCTATCAGGCTTTCCCAGTTATTTTAGAGATGCTACAAGATGAGTCAGTTTGTTTGTTGTTTAACATAGCGCTCAGGAATAGTCCAGCTATACGACAGCGGCCTTCAAACATTTGAGTCTGGACCAGCAAACAATTCAGATATTGATATTGTGAGCAATGATCCATGGCATATATATGAGGTACGAGTGAGTGTGAGTGAGTTTGGTTTAACGCCACTTTTAACAGTATTCCAGTTATATCGCGGCGCGTCAGATTAATGAGGAGGAAAGCCCGAAGTGATGCAGGTCTCAGATGTTTACCACTTTGGTGAAACCCACGAGCACGGGTATGGTGCTGACAAACCTAGAAACATAATCGGGGCAAACCGGGATTCAACCCACAATCATGAGGTACGATGTCACTCTATCAACCATGTCACAGAGCCTGACCAGTGACCACCCAATCAATTTAGATGCCTTTTACAACGGCATAAGTCCCTGGGGACCAAGTCTAGGGGCTACAGGAAGTGTTGAGAACTAAATGTGAAATTGCAATCTTATCTACATCATCCATGAACAGTACAATTGATAAGGCAAATATTATCAGTGACATCATTCCCAGCAGATGAGGCGATGGGTCTGGGTTTTTTATCATCACTGTAGGAGATGTATCGCGCTGGATATCTAGGATGAGGCCATGGGTCTGGGTTTTTTATCATCACTGTAGGAGATGTATCGCGCTGGATATCTAGGATGAGGCCATGGGTCTGGGTTTTTTATCATCACTGTAGATGTATCGTGCTGGATATCTAGGATGAGGCGATGGGTCTGGGTTTTTTATCATCACTGTAGGAGATGTATTGCGCTGGATATCTAGGTTGAGGCGATGGGTCTGGCATATTTATTTATCATCACAAAATGGAGATATATCACGCTGGATATCTAGAATGAGGCGATGTATTGCGCTGGATATCAAGGATGAGGCGATGGGTCTGGGTTTTTTATCATCACTGTAGGAGATGTATCGCGCTGGATATCTAGGTTGAGGCGATGGGTCTGGGTTTCTTATCATCACTGTAGGAGATGTATTGCGCTGGATATCTAGGTTGAGGCGATGGGTCTGGCATATTTATTTATCATCACAAAATGGAGATATATCACACTGGATATCTAGGATGAGGCAATAGGTCTGGCATATTAATTTATCATCACACAATGGAGATATATCACACTGGATATCTAGGATGAGGCGATAGGTCTGGCGTATTTATTTATTGTCACACAATGGAGATATATCACGCTGGATATCTAGGATGCCCAAAGCACAGGGTTGGATACTTCTCAGAAAGGTATCATGCAGGGAAACAAATATAAGGTTCAATAAAGACTTCACACAGCTGTCGTTCTATGAAGAATCAAATCTTTATTAAGCATTCCCCAGACATACAAATCATTCTCTTCATATCCTTCCGAGATTAGTTTATTCATGTATTCTGACTTCACACTGGATGTACAAATGAGAGGTTATTCACACATACTGACTTCACACTGGAAGTGACTTAAGTTCCCAACCGAGTAAATCTCTGAAGGCTTCCATGTTTGCATAAACCACTGACCGATGACACAATAACATCTTGTGCCACGATAATCATAATCATAAGCTCTTGTGTCATGACGATCATAATCATGACAGTCACGCTTATCTTGTTCTTCCGAAGTTCTGTTTAACTCATTACGTAAGACAATTGTTTCAAACAAACTACTTGGTCTTCAACTGTTAATCGCCATGGCTTCCTGAGAGAGTGCGGCTCACCAATCAGGTCTAATTTGGGATTTGAAACCAACAAGAAGTTGATCCCCCAGAGGGGCTGAGCTCTGTGGCCACGTCCTCAAGTCACAAAACTATGAAACAGATTAGTTCACATCGCGTAACTAGCTTCGTGGCATGATCACATCGATTACAATGTCCACCACTGGCAAGACTGTTTAAGTAGTGAGTATTTAAAATACATATCAAAACATTTAGACACAAGTTGAATACTCAAACAAGTCTTTGATAAAAACAAGTTGGATTTCATTACTGTAACGCTTTGATTTATGATTTGTTTGTTTGTTGTTTAACGCCGCACTCAGCAATATTCCAGCTATATGACGGTGGTCTGTAAATAATCAAGTCTGGACCAGACAATCCAGTGATTGACATCATGAGCATATATATCCACGCAATTGGGATACAATGACATGCATCAACCAAGTCAGCAAGCCTGACCACCTGATCCTGTTAGTCGCCTCTTACGACAAGCATAGTCGCCTTTCACGGCAAGCATAGTCGCCTTTCACGGCAAGCATGGGTTACTGAAATGATGACACAAGAGAAGACGAAATGTCACAAACATTATTCATAGTTGATTCTCAGACCTGACGAACAAATTACTACCATGATCATAAAATGACAAAGGTGATCTTTCATAAACTTACAACAGCACTTACGGTACAATATTAGGCATTTATTTACAATTCCAAACAAAGAACCCGAGGCGGCAGGCTCATCGGCACAAAAGCATATTTTGTTCGTTATTTTCCTAAAATTGTGTTTATTAATATTGCCATTAATGCAATATAACGAAACCAAGCATAAAAGCCTCTTCCTGTTTATTGTTCCTGTTGTAAGTGAGATGCAAGCCACCTCTAGTGGGCTATGATTAATCAGTGAGTGAGTGAGTTTGGTTTTACGCCGCTTTAAACAATATTCCAGCATTATCACGGCGGGGGACACCAGAAATGGGCTGCACATTGTACCTATGTTGGGATATGATTAGTCAGAACTATAATAGCATGAAATAGGAAATTATAAAAAAAACATCCATATTCTTGACTTTAGCTTCAGACTTGGGGACGAATATCAGCCTTTGAGCAAGTCTACATAAATCCCTGAATACTTCAATTGATGCCTTTTCACTGGACGTCATCAATATCACTGAAGGATCCATTCTTGCATATACCCAGGACAGCTTCGTCACCATCATGTGAGAGGAAAGCCCAAAGTGACGCAGGTCATAGACTTTTACCACTTCGGTGAAACCAAATCTTGAGTAAGGTGCTGACTAGCCAAGGATCATAATCAAGGCAAACTGGGATTCAAACAATCCTGGTGCTTGCATGTGCTGTGCCACCTTACTCCACCAGTGGGTGAGTGGGTAAGGTGCCAGTCACCTTCAGGTACACAGCACCAACTTCCAATCTCCAATGTATCTGGTTGGTAGCTTAGCAGGGAAGCAATACATGGTATGGTTTAACATGTTTAGTGAGTGAGTGAATGTAGTTTTATGCCGCTTGTAACAAAAATTCCAACAATATCATGGCATTGGGACAACAGAAATGGCCTTCACACATTGTTGGGACTCGAACCTAGGTCTTCAGAGTTACGAGCGAACGCTTTAACCACAAGCCTACCACTCCGGCTCTATCATGTTTAAGGGGCAGTACTATTGTCACAGTGAGAAGCACCAACTTCGGTCTGTACACAACAGGGGGTAGAGATTGTACTTTAAATTTGTTCAGTTGTATTTTCTAATTTTCAGAAATAAAGAACTTACAATTATTTGTTTTAAGTGATTGAAAAGGTTGTGTAGCTGCTAATTGGGCTTGATTAATCTGTAAATGATCCAGAGTTACAAATTGGCACTAGTCCTATAGTCCATGCCAAACTGCCCAATAGTTGAGGTATCATAAGGACTAGTAGACATTCATTTTTAAGGGTTTCGCTATTTGCTATCATTATAGGGACTAGTGGAATAAAACTGTTAGTTTCTACCACTGCAAACAAGATATAAAAATGGAGGGCCTTACACTCATTTCTGGTCAGTGGATCAGCGTTCTATAGATAACCCATGCAGGGGCTTGTTGCTCAAGCTTTAACATACATCCAGTAACTAACATCTCTTGATACAAACATGGAAGCCTTGTAATGTGTAACAGATTAATGGCTGAACACCCTGTCCAGCTGCATAGAGTGTCTCAACCCAAGCCGGTGTGTTTCAATCTCACTGAAATCAGATCTTTTCACTCCGATTCAGTCCTTCCCTGCGTGAAGATCGGACAACATCCTTAGGTCGTGTCGGTGAACCATCAGCGAACTCGGACCACCAAGCTAATGAACGAGTCGGTCCTTTAGCCAGTCAGATATCAGCTTCTTAAAATGATTCAGACATTTTAGTTTTAACAAACCAATACAGATCACATATTCCTTCCATGGTACCCACATTACAAGGTTTAGATGTCATAAACACAATATGATTACACACCCTTTATTATTTAACATTTGGAACTACTTGCTTAAGTTCATTTACAAGATGAACTGCTCTGAATGCTTCGCTCACCCACTGATTGTCTGATTTAGAATTTTACCGGCTTTAAATCCTTTGGAGGTGTCAGATCTTCACGCAGAGAGGTATCAGAATAAAAGATCTCATCTTAATGAGATTGGTGTCAATTCAGCCTGTCATATCATATAGCAATAAATATACACAATATATACATGGGTAATCTGGGATCACAGGTGGCGGTACGTCGCACACATACACACAAAGTTATCACACTCTCACGCTCTACACAAACATAAACAGTAACAGTGGACAGGTTTGGATAAATCAAACAAGTTAATACGAAACAAATGTCAGTGTTTTCTCAAATTTCAATGTGTCTGTATAATTTGATATTGCTTGTAATTGTAAGTTTTTCAACAAGTCACTGTTGTGATAATCATAGAGATCGTCAGGTTGAACAGGATAGTTAATGTTCAAATGTCAGATCTTAACATTTCTCTCAACAAAACATAATACCAAACAAAATAAAATTATCATTTAGTAAACAAAACTAAAAATTGTGGAGCAAGCAGTACAAATAATGAATGTCTTGGGTGAAGAAGTATCACCACCGATCGGAAATGTTCAAAAACAAGAAATCGGGAAAATACAAAAATATTTTGAAATCTATTTTGAGGGCAATATTTAAGTTTGTATTTATCATGAGATTATGCAGTTTAATGAAAGTGATATGTAAGAAACAAGCAGTATAGATAATGTATATCATGTATATTTCAGTGTGGATTTCAATCAGTTGTCAGGAAAGTAGAAGATGGTGACATGCCTAATAAAAACTATTGATATAAGATTAAAACAGCAGCCAGCCGGACTGTATTATATACACATCTAGTCTTGTTCCTAGTGGCAAAAATGACAATGTGTAAAGCAGTATTCGAAATTCATGCTAGCCCACTAGCCTGAGACTCCTAAATTGTGCTGAGGACAAGTAAAAATCCAATGATGGTCGTCTTCATTGACTAGTAGTATTTGAAGGTTATAATTCTGAACCAGTTCTCAATGCTTCAATTTTGCTACAAACTGGAACTGAATAAGACGGACAGAAAATGAAAACATATTCAACATTTTGTCTTGTTCAAGCAGGACTAGCTACAAGGGCTGAGGACTTGTGAAATAGGGCTTACACAAGTCCTCGGGACTAGTCCTAAAACACAAGTCCTCGGGACTAGTCCTAAAACCCACAGATTTCTAAGGCTGGAAAAGACAGGCAGCTAGGACTATGATTAAATAAATGAAATTTTGCATCCATCTGTTTTGTAATTCAACAGTCTGTCACTTGGTCCCGCTTCGTTGTACTTGTCATTCAGTACGCAAAATAAATAGGAACTGATTAAAAACATAACATTAATTTTATCTAAAAAATAAAGACTGCCACACCAGTAAGTCCTTGTTTAAAAATCTGTACTCAGAAAACAATCCCATATTCACTGTGTTAAACAGTCCATGAGATGCACAAAATCTTCATCAAAATACTGATCACATTAAATACAATAATTAACACATCAATAAATTACTTCACATATTGCATATTGACCTAAGACTACCTAATTAGTTCATTTGTAGATGGGGGGGCCTATTCCGGGCTCCAGGAAAAGCTAGCTTTTTGAAAGCACTATTTTTAGTAGCAATGGCGGGGGACTTTGACCTTTTAGGGAGACTTGACGTGTCCATGGCCTCCTGGTGTCGATCATGGTGGAGGCCGTTGGCCTGGCCGATTTGACCGATAGCAAAGCCCTCCACAATATGCTGATGTGATGGACTGAAAGAGAAAAGAGTGAGTGAGTGAGTGAGCAAGGCTCAACTTTCAGTTTGCAAGTACGTGAAGGTTTTTTGTCAGTCTTGGTCCACTACAGGGTTAACAACTGATCAATCTATCTGTGCATTGCAGTTGTCAGTGGCTTGATGACAAGTTAAATTATCAATAGTTAGGGCTGGCTAAAAAGATTGATAGTCAGAATTAGGGAAGAAATATTAATGACTATCGATATGAAAATTCTTATCGATAATTTCTTACATAATCAATTGCGATGAAATAAAGTGTAAATCTTCCAAAAAAGACTTGATATTGTCAATCATGACAACTGCCAAAGACGAAAGCAACTGTTTTTGTCATATCTTAAATGTCCACAAAGTAATCCATGCATAAACGTGTCACCAATGATGTGAAGTACAATGACTCCTTTTGGACTTTTTAGCCTATTTGCTCAAACTTACTTCTCCGCTATTTATCAATAATCGATTGATATTTTGTTAACGATTATTGGTCTCTATGATCTACATCGATAGCCAGCCCTATCAATAGTTAATATCAATGCTAACAACATTGTCAATAGAATGGAATGACATGATACAATGAAATACCTCTGCAATACAATGAGCGGGATGTACTGGACGCTGCTTTCAGCAATATTTCACTGATGCAGGGTTAGAAATTGGCACTAGTCATGTTGTCCTTGCCAAACTGCCCAATAGTTAAGGTATCATGAGGACTAGTAGATATTTGCCATTTTTAAGGGTTTTGATATATATTATCATTATAAGGACTAGTGGGCCAAAAATGTTAGTTTCTTCCGCTGCTGATGTCACAGCAAACACCTTGACGTGGGAGGAGAGCCCAAAGTGATGCAGGGGGAAGAGATTTAACAACTTTGATAAAACCCACAATCATGGGTATCGGGCCTCAAAGTTTAAATGTTTACCAAGTAGCCATATAACTACAAGTATTTTTTTCCAGGTAGCCAGTCGTAAAATAAAGAAGTCAAGCCAATATTGTTGGTAGCCAAAAGCATTTGAAACTATCTTGCATCAAATAACTATTATAATATGTACAAGTCATAGCACTAGTATTGGAATTGTATATTAGTGGAAACTGTACTTGAGTATTGTCATTTTGCTTATAAACTAAAATAAAATACTAATTACATTAATATTTATGTATTTCCGTTCATTGTTGACTTTAGGAGGAATTATTTGCGAGTGAAATTAGTAGCAGACATGTTTATTTTTGTGTCTACATATGTGTAGCAATAGAATTTAGTCGCCACAAGATATCTTTAGAGGTAGCCAAATGACTACCTCTAAATTTTAGACAGTAGACAAATTGAAATTTAGGTCGCATTGGCAACCATTTTAGTCGCAACTTTAAGGCCTGGATATGGTGTTGACAAACCTATGATCACAATCTGGTCGAATCTGGAATATTGTCAAGATCAAAGGTTACTCGAACACCTAAGGGAAGCAACTCTGCACAGCGTATTTCAGCACCTCAGCCGTCTGGGCCACCCATGCCCCGCCAGCAATAAAGCTATGGCCTCTAACTGTAAACATGGCAAGAATCAACAGAATTTCCTGAAAGTAAAGAACAGCAATAATACCTGACGGCTCCTCGGAGAGTAGACGCCATCACCTTGCGTGGGGATCTCGGCTCCTTCTCCGATATCCACGGCTTGTTCATCTCGTAGAGAACTGACGGCGCTACGTATGTGAAGCCCTGAAAGACACAGCTACAATGTCAAACTACATCAATCGGCTCATATGAAATCACTACAAATATTTTTTAACCTCGAATCAAAGCGAAATGTTATTTCCTTGCACTAAGCCAAGCTGACTTAATATACTTATCATGCTTCTATGAAAATCGCCAATGTTTCGTTCACCAACAAAGATTTATGAGGTACTCTATTTGCTGTTCCACAGGGACTCCCGTCACATGAATTACCTGTCCAAGCTCAATTTTACCCATAAAAAACTGGTAATTACCGGAAAACTGGAACACTGAAATAGCCTTGCAACAGATACCACACACATCTTGATACTAAGCTCCCTACAACACTCTTGATACTAAGCTCCCTACGCTGAAATAGCCTTGCAACAGATACAACACACATCTTGATACTAAGCTCCCTACGCTGAAATAGCCTTGCAACAGATACAACACACATCTTGATACTAAGCTCCCTACACTGAAATAGCCTTGCATCAGTTACAACACACATCTTGATACTAAGCTCCCTACGCTCAAATAGCCTTGCAACAGATACAACACACATCTTGATACTAAGCTCCCTATGCTCAAATAGCCTTGCAACAGATACCACACACATCTTGATACTAAGCTCCCTACAACACTCTTGATACTAAGCTCCCTACGCTGAAATAGCCTTGCAACAGATACAACACACATCTTGATACTAAGCTCCCTACACTGAAATAGCCTTGCATCAGATACAACACACATCTTGATACTAAGCTCCCTACACTGAAATAGCCTTGCAACAGATACAACACACATCTTGATACTAAGCTCCCTATGCTCAAATAGCCTTGCAACAGATACAACACACATCTTGATACTAAGCTCCCTACACTGAAATAGCCTTGCAACAGATACAACACACATCTTGATACTAAGCTCCCTACGCGGAAATAGCCTTGCAACAGATACAACACACATCTTGATACTAAGCTCCCTACGCGGAAATAGCCTTGCAACAGATACAACACACATCTTGATACTAAGCTCCCTACACTGAAATAGCCTTGCAACAGATACCACACACATCTTGATACTAAGCTCCCTACGCTGAAATAGCCTTGCAACAGATACCACACACATCTTGATACTAAGCTCCCTACGCGGAAATAGCCTTGCAACAGATACAACACACATCTTGATACTAAGCTCCCTATGCTGAAATAGCCTTGCAACAGATACAACACACATCTTGATACTAAGCTCCCTATGCTGAAATAGCCTTGCAACAGATACAACACACATCTTGATACTAAGCTCCCTACGCGGAAATAGCCTTGCAACAGATACAACACACATCTTGATACTAAGCTCCCTACACTGAAATAGCCTTGCATCAGATACAACACACATCTTGATACTAAGCTCCCTAGGCTGAAATAGCCTTGCAACAGATACAACACACATCTTGATACTAAGCTCCCTACACTGAAATAGCCTTGCATCAGATACAACACACATCTTGATACTAAGCTCCCTAGGCTGAAATAGCCTTGCAACAGATACAACACACATCTTGATATTAAGCTCCCTATGCTGAAATAGCCTTGCAACAGATACAACACACATCTTGATACTAAGCTCCCTACACTGAAATAGCCTTGCAACAGTTACCACACACATCTTGATACTAAGCTCCCTATGCTGAAATAGCCTTGCATCAGATACAACACACATCTTGATACTAAGCTCACTATGCTGAAATAGCCTTGCATCAGATACAACACACATCTTGATACTAAGCTCCCTACGCTGATATAGCCTTGCAACAGATACAACACACATCTTGATACTAAGCTCCCTACACTGAAATAGCCTTGCAACAGATACAACACACATCTTGATACTAAGCTCCCTATGCTGAAATAGCCTTGCAACAGATACAACACACATCTTGATACTAAGCTCCCTACGCTGAAATAGCCTTGCAACAGATACAACACACATCTTGATACTAAGCTCCCTAGGCTGACATAGCCTTGCAACAGATACAACACACATCTTGTTATTAAGCTCCCTACGCTCAAATAGCCTTGCAACAGGTACAACACACATCTTGATACTAAGCTCCCTACACTGAAATAGCCTTGCAACAGATACAACACACATCTTGATACTAAGCTCCCTACGCTGAAATAGCCTTGCAACAGATACAACACACATCTTGATACTAAGCTCCCTACGCTCAAATAGCCTTGCAATAGATACAACACACCTTTGATACTAAGCTTCCTACACTGAAATAGCCTTGGAACAGATACAACACACATCTTGATACTAAGCTCCCTATGCTCAAATAGCCTTGCAACAGATACAACACACATCTTGATACTAAGCTCCCTACGCAGAAATAGCCTTGCAACAGATACAACACACATCTTGATACTAAGCTCCCTACGCTCAAATAGCCTTGCAACAGATACAACACACATCTTGATACTAAGCTCCCTACGCTGAAATAGCCTTGCAACAGATACAACACACATCTAGATACTAAGCTCCCTACGCGGAAATAGCCTTGCAACAGATACAACACACATCTTGATACTAAGCTCCCTATGCTGAAATAGCCTTGCATCAGATACAACACACATCTTGATACTAAGCTCCCTACACTCAAATAGCCTTGCATCAGATACAACACACATCTTGATACTAAGCTCCCTACGCTGAAATAGCCTTGCAACAGATACAACACACATCTTGATACTAAGCTCCCTACACTGAAATAGCCTTGCATCAGTTACAACACACATCTTGATACTAAGCTCCCTACACTGAAATAGCCTTGCAACAGATACAACACACATCTTGATACTAAGCTCCCTATGCTCAAATAGCCTTGCAACAGATACAACACACATCTTGATACTAAGCTCCCTACACTGAAATAGCCTTGCAACAGATACAACACACATCTTGATACTAAGCTCCCTACGCTCAAATAGCCTTGCAATAGATACAACACACCTTTGATACTAAGCTTCCTAAGCTGAAATAGCCTTGCAACAGATACAACACACATCTTGATACTAAGCTCCCTACGCTCAAATAGCCTTGCAACAGATACAACACACATCTTGATACTAAGCTCCCTACGCAGAAATAGCCTTGCAACAGATACAACACACATCTTGATACTAAGCTCCCTACGCTCAAATAGCCTTGCAACAGATACAACACACATCTTGATACTAAGCTCCCTAGGCTGAAATAGCCTTGCAACAGATACAACACACATCTAGATACTAAGCTCCCTACGCGGAAATAGCCTTGCAACAGATACAACACACATCTTGATACTAAGCTCCCTATGCTAAAATAGCCTTGCATCAGATACAACACACATCTTGATACTAAGCTCCCTACACTCAAATAGCCTTGCAACAGATACAACACACATCTAGATACTAAGCTCCCTACGCGGAAATAGCCTTGCAACAGATACAACACACATCTTGATACTAAGCTCCCTATGCTGAAATAGCCTTGCATCAGATACAACACACATCTTGATACTAAGCTCCCTACACTCAAATAGCCTTGCATCAGATACAACACACATCTTGATACTAAGCTCCCTACGCTGAAATAGCCTTGCAACAGATACAACACACATCTTGATACTAAGCTCCCTACACTGAAATAGCCTTGCATCAGTTACAACACACATCTTGATACTAAGCTCCCTACACTGAAATAGCCTTGCAACAGATACAACACACATCTTGATACTAAGCTCCCTATGCTCAAATAGCCTTGCAACAGATACAACACACATCTTGATACTAAGCTCCCTACACTGAAATAGCCTTGCAACAGATACAACACACATCTTGATACTAAGCTCCCTACGCTCAAATAGCCTTGCAATAGATACAACACACCTTTGATACTAAGCTTCCTAAGCTGAAATAGCCTTGCAACAGATACAACACACATCTTGATACTAAGCTCCCTACGCTCAAATAGCCTTGCAACAGATACAACACACATCTTGATACTAAGCTCCCTACGCAGAAATAGCCTTGCAACAGATACAACACACATCTTGATACTAAGCTCCCTACGCTCAAATAGCCTTGCAACAGATACAACACACATCTTGATACTAAGCTCCCTAGGCTGAAATAGCCTTGCAACAGATACAACACACATCTAGATACTAAGCTCCCTACGCGGAAATAGCCTTGCAACAGATACAACACACATCTTGATACTAAGCTCCCTATGCTAAAATAGCCTTGCATCAGATACAACACACATCTTGATACTAAGCTCCCTACACTCAAATAGCCTTGCATCAGATACAACACACATCTTGATACTAAGCTCCCTACGCTGAAATAGCCTTGCAACAGATACAACACACATCTTGATACTAAGCTCCCTACACTGAAATAGCCTTGCATCAGTTACAACACACATCTTGATACTAAGCTCCCTACACTGAAATAGCCTTGCAACAGATACAACACACATCTTGATACTAAGCTCCCTATGCTCAAATAGCCTTGCAACAGATACAACACACATCTTGATACTAAGCTCCCTACACTCAAATAGCCTTGCAACAGATACAACACACATCTTGATACTAAGCTCCCTACGCGGAAATAGCCTTGCAACAGATACAACACACATCTTGATACTAAGCTCCCTACGCGGAAATAGCCTTGCAACAGATACAACACACATCTTGATACTAAGCTCCCTACACTCAAATAGCCTTGCAACAGATACCACACACATCTTGATACTAAGCTCCCTACACTGAAATAGCCTTGCATCAGATACAACACACATCTTGATACTAACCTCCCTATGCTGAAATAGCCTTGCATCAGATACAACACACATCTTGATATTAAGCTCCCTATGCTGAAATAGCCTTGCAACAGATACAACACACATCTTGATACTAAGCTCCCTACGCTGAAATAGCCTTGCAACAGTTA